AAACACGAGAGTCACAGCGCAAACTCTGATCCGGACAAGGATATGCAACACTAATTGGCCTTCATGAGAAAGCAACTCGGGCTAGTGCTCTCTTTCAAAGTGGGCTAGCCGAAAAGCTAATCTGTATGCAAAGGCTGTGATCAAGTGTGGCCGATGTTCAACTTGAAATAACCTAAATCCCCAAACTCCTAGTGATGGTTTCATTGAGTAGGACAGAGAAAGTGAGCCACACCAAGATACTGTACCAAACTGTCTGTAAAAATATGGGGTCACAGTTTTGCAACATGACATATCGGCCAACAAAATTCAACATAAAACTTTACTGCCGTATTTGCAACAAATTTACATGAAACACCCAGAAACGAATTTGGCCTTCTCGCCAAGCATGTAATTCACAGGAATACAAGCAAGCTGTTGTCATCAAACCAACTGACGGTGACGTTTAGAATAGCTTTTTCAGATTGGTTCAAAGCAACTAATTTGGACTTACACTCATCATGTAAAAATTTCACCGGATATTCTTTTGAATTCTTATCAATGATAGCTTTTGTGGAGTTCATTTCAGCTAGCGTGTTGTACTGCATTTTTATCCCGTCAGCCGTTTGGGGAAAACCCATTTCAGCACTAATCTTTCGAGAAAACTGCGAGAAGGCTCTACTATTTAGATTGCACTCCAAAAAACCTTGTCCAAGACAAATTTTTTTGCATAATATTGCCGGAAGTATTAACCAATGAAAATATTCCGAGATATTCTGTACTAGGTTTTGATAATATGTTATAATCACATGGTCTTCAAAACGGTTTATGTAGCATTGTAAAGACCCGTGAGTGTCGAATGACGGTAAACCGAATCCATCAGAAAAGTCGCAGCTGTAACTGCGATTATGATCACGTGACATATAGGTAACTATTATCCCCCGGGAACAGGATAATGTTGTTTTTCACAAATCATGTGGGTACTTTCGAGCTTTTTGTATTGCAACGATGTGGTAGGTTGACACCACTGGCAAACTTAACCAGTGAGGCACTTAAACAACTGTGAGTTTTCAACGATTTCATGATAAGCACAATCTCATGCAGAGTCAACGAAAACAGTAGTAGTTCAGTCAATCTTAAAAATATCCGTAGAAATACCCGACTAACGTTCAACGAAGCAAGGAGTGTATCAGAAATGAAACTGATGCCTGAATTACGCTTTTGTAAAACGATTTATCTATGATTCATCCTCGTTCTCTCATCAGACAGTAAGGAGAGTTCTCCTTTTCATCAGTACTAAATTCAGCAGCACTTGAGTGGACAGAAAGTCACTTTATAGACTCGTCCTTGGAATGCTGTGATGTTTTGTAACTACAAAATGTCACCTTCGGAAAACCAGCCAGGGATATGCAGACCATACTGAGTAATAGGTGTGACTGGAATACCTTGTGCTTAAGGCAGTTCGCACCCTCAGTTTCAACTGCTGCTTCAAGACTGGGTCATTCTCCCTCCTACGTTCTGTATTCCATGTAGTCCAGTCGAGATTGTGGACAGTTTCACACAGTTGGGTGACATACTCCCGTCAGCTTGTAGTAGTTCTGGTGGGAAATCAATAAGAGTAGCAAGCGTACGTGTTGCCTTTGCAGTCTGCGTCACCTTTGTGCTAAAAAACGCTGAAGTAAAGGGTATGCAACGTTTTTGTTCGTTCTGTTTTGTTTTGTGGTTAGGAAGCGTGGCCATCCCATGACTTGTTGTGGTTGACCGTTGTTGTCTGGTCGGTCAGCCCACATCAAGTGGGATGATCGCTTAAGCGAGTGAGCTGTTCGCAATCGCGTAATTCAGAACATTCGGCATACACGGCTAATTCGTCTGTTTATAAGGTTACATAATTCGCCTCCGCATGCTATCTGAGTGTTTTCTATACTGCACCTTATTTATTGAGACCACCAGCAATTGGATAAAACCTGGAGTGATCAAGCGTTGATGTGGTCATGAAATATGATGGTCCTGGCCTTTCCATTAAACAAAGCGGGCAGGTGTCACCTGCCCGGTTTTGATCTCCTTAGTCACTCAAACCACCGATTAACAACATTTTCCGAGGTGATTGTGTACCGCAGTTAACGGTGTAACTCAGTCCATTCTACTTTAAGTTTTGTTCAACGATAGTTGATCTATTCTGATCGCTTTTGGTGAATTCTTGTTTTAAATTATCTCGAATCTCTTTTGGATTGGGTGGATGCTTGAGTCACAGTACGTTCTGGTCACGTTCGTTGCCGTTATAAATGAACAAATGAGTTACTCGGAAGTATTATTGCATTTGGGAAGAATATAAGAAGATTTTAACTGGTGATATTCATTTGAGTTCACTAGAAATATTGGATAAAACTTTATTGTGCAGCCCAGTATAGTTTAGTAAGCAATCTTCTTCTGCCATTCATTACGTCGCGACAGTAAACTTCGGAGAATACGTGTATCAATACGTTACAAAACCACGCCAGTCTTTCCGTGTATTTCAAAATGACTTGTGTACAGTTCTGATGTTAATCAGATTTACTAAACCGTTAGAGTTACTGGCTCAGCAAAAGAGCAGAAATGTAAGTTCTCAGAATTCAACTGTGTAATTCACAATACAATGGACAGATAAGTGAATTGGGTGAACTCTGCAACCTGTAATTCACAGTGCACCGTCAGCGTATTTCAGTTTCAAACCAATTCACAGCAACAGGTCTCCACAATTCTGTCGGAGGAAAAGCTACCTCAGATGCACTCACGGTTCCCATAACTTTATTGGTTGGACTGTAGCTAAGACGTGCTAAGACGGTCTATGATTGATTTCAAATGCAAAAGTTTTAAGTTGTCAGCATGGCTTCATAGCTTAGCCGATGGTACACTCGTCGTGCAGGGGTTATTGTCCAAATGTAGTCCAGATTTTCAGCAGATCAGGTCTTCTCTAAACTCAACAAATCCGGTGTACTACCTATCAATAACGTGATTACAACTTCTATAACAGAATGGTGCACACTTCGGGATGTTCTGACAAATTATGATCTCGGTAGCAGACCGCAAGTCTACTTTACACAAGTATCAGCATGTCAGTGGTTGACTGCTGCTACTACCAACGTTGATGGGTGGCGGACACCCGTTTATGTTACCGACAATGATGACGTGCCAAAGCAGATACGACAGTTAGACTAATTTCTTCTAATTACGTAACGTTGCATTACTTAGTCTAATTGTGATTGCTTCAGCTGTTCTTGTGTGCTGCAGTTTGATCAGTTATTCTTCTGATCCCTTGTTACACAGCAGATGACGCAAAATGATTGAACCGGGTCAACGTGATGGGTCATGCCAACCAGACGACAGTGGTCTATCTGTTTGTCCTTCTTATTGATCCTATCAGTGGCTGGTTTAGGTGTTTTTTATTCTCATATCATCACTTGGTTCAGTATAATTTTAAACCAGACCGTTTAACCTACTAATGAGTAAAGTAGTAGTACCGCACCGTACATTGTGGTTATTTGCGACATCTAAATTTGGACACGGTGTTGAGCTAGCTCTATCTCTGCATTTCAGATAGATCAACCAGTCATGACATTCCACCAGAAAACCTTCCGATTAACAAGCTGATACACAGTATCTTTCCCTTATTGTAGATATCGGGCTACCTATAACCACAGTAACTTTCATACGGGCAGAAGCAATTAATCACAGATTTTTAAGCCGAGGAAATGCACACTCAAATAGACTGAAGACAAGCCGCTCAACGGTAACCGACTAATTGGCGGAAAATAGTGCCTTTGGTTATTAAAGCCCTGCGGAAAAATAAATATGTGACTGGTTCAGAATCTAGTAACTCAGTACAGACCGATAATCCGAAAATTACTCCAGACGCTGTTTGTCAAGCGCAATTAGTAAATCCATTGTGAGGAGACCAGTTTCCTTGACTTACCATTCACCACAGGTTTGAAACTGGTGTGTACGTGGGATGTTCCGGTGCCGGCTTATTTGTTTAGACTTTAGAGATCATAGGAAATGGTACTGCTGGTTTTCAGAGTTATTCGACCGTAAGCACCATAGTGGTTTTGTGCTAAGTAGTTAGTAGTGAAATGTGGAGCATATTCTGAACAAGTGTATTTAACCGCCAGCTATAGCCGTGTTTTTGAATATCTCTAGATTAATCTGTTTTATATGTACAACTTGAGGTAAATCATACGGTTGGCTAAAATTATTTCTCAGTAGGTTAAGTGATTGATGGAAACTTCGTAATCAGAGTTCCTATAGCTTTAAACCGTGTTAGAAGTTCACCAAGGTTTATAGGTTCGGATAGGCTTTTTAAAAATGTCATCTTCGGGCCGCATACAACACAACGCAAAAAGAGTTATCAAGCCATGATTGCGTGGTCCCAAACAAAACATGAATCTAGGATCCTTTTAGAATTACAGATCTGGTTAATGTAGTACCGGTTCATTTGTTCCAATGATTGGAGGCCATGAAAACGTGAACATTTCAAAACGAAAAAGATTCGGCAAGCACAGGTTAGCGCCTACCGGTCACATTCTGTTTGTCTCTACAGTTACCAAGAAGCGATATTTTACATCTCTGGTGTGAACATGTGTAACACAATAGGTTAGTTTACATACAATATTCATTTGGGATTTGACTTATTACAACATCATCGATGTGCAATGATTTTCTACTACAAAATCTTTGTGATACATTTTCTTAAAATAAAAAGAAGACACGTGTTGTGCGACGATAACAAGTTGATTTAACCCAGTCGGTGGCTATCGTATAATCAGATGTTACCTGAATAAAATTGCTTCAATGTTTGTTACCAGTTTCGGGTTTTGATTTGGTAACATCATGAACAGTTTAAGTGACACAACTAAGTGACGTTGTTTTTGTGAGGCTGACAGTCGATGAATCCGAGATATTCATCACTGTTTTTACTGACAGTACGGGAGTAAATAGAATGTAGCTTAACAAGTTTACTAGGTAGGCGGTGAACCAAATGTGAAAATCCCGAACTTTGGCTGGGTTTGAACCGGCCAAATGATCTTAAACATGCCCTCATATACCAAGTGCTCTACCGGCTGAGCTACAAAGTTAGACAGGGAAGTTGGGTTTTTGCAAAAACTCCAGTTACCCAACTGCTCTCCTGTGTCTTTGGTGTCCACTAAATTATCCAGTAGGTGGACTATCAAGACAGGACTATCTCGAAGGGTCAGCACTGAAATCCACCGAAGCGATAACTGAGCATCATAACAGTATTATTAGTAAGCAGTTTTGCAATTTTGTTTATCCTAATGGCAACTATACTGCAATCAGCAACCACGCACCATCCCCATTCGTCTCCTGAAAATACGCTTAATCCTAGGCTGATGAAAGCAACCATCTATTCTGTTTATACGGACGTTCTTGCAACTGCAAGCGATCGACTAAGTAGTACTGTTATAAAGAGAAGATTGCCTGCTGCCTAACGAGATACGCATATGTCCAGTTGAATAAGAATTCTTAAGAGATGATGTCAATTTATGACTCAAGCTTTTGGTTATGTGATCATTCGTGGGTGGAATTCGTAGAAACATATCCTTTATAAGTACAGTGTGACAGTTTTTGGATAACTGTTCATGTATTCAGCTTTCTTGCGATGTAATCGGCTGCCCAGCCGCAGTATGAAAAAGAAATTATACTGGCTAGCTCTTTCACTCGCTGTTGTTCGGTCCATTCTTCGTGGTTTTTCCAGTTATGATTCAATATTTCACCAAGTTGTCAACATCATACCATATGGCTGTTTTAACTGACTGGAACAAAGGATCACTTGAATACTGGTCCATAAGGGTTTGAAAACACGCTTTGTACTTCCCGAAGCGGTCGTGAAAAACAAGGTGGCGAATGAATTTGTTTTTAGTGATCTATCATCAGGCCAACCAATTTAAGAATCTGAGAGTTATGTTTGCAGTTCAGAGCAAGTTTCATAGTCACCAACCAACATAGCAAAATTATCTATGCTGAACATCAGATCGGTAAGTCTTAGGTCACTGAAGGACGAAAGGCTGAAAGCCGCCCTAACTTTTGAGTAAATACAGCAACAGTGTTCTGCTGTACTCCACCTATACGAACTGCCAACAGTCAACAAACCTAGTTTGTCATGATATGAAGAATTTGTCTTACCACTCAACAGCGAGGTAGCTAGTGAAGCTGTTTGAGCCGTAGTGAAGCTATCTTGCTGATGACGCCTCACTTTCACTTACAGCTCGGTTGTTTGTTTGCAAAGTACAGGCACCTTGATGTTGTATGTTTGAATAGAGACGTGGCTATTTTTAGTGACTAGGTCCACTCTCCTCTGCCTTTTTTCATCTCTCTTCCTAAACAGGGTTTGTTTCTTCTTCTTTTTCTTCTTGGTTGTGTGGCACTTAAGCATCAGTGTGAATCACTGATGTATTGCTGCCTATGACGATGATGAGCTTGTTCGAATATCCGCTACCTATCTGAATATACGTAATATATTTGAATTCCTCTGTTGCATACAGATTACTAATAAGAATCCACAGAATTCGCTGCCACTGGGCGTTCAGTCATCATTCACCAACGTATCGTTGAAGAAATCAGTTCATTTTATCCTTGATTTCGTGACTGAGGCCTGACTACATATTGGGGTATCAGTACTGAGATTGAAACAGCTACTACTCCGAGGCACGTTCGATGTATAACTGCTACTCAGTGGTGTGCTGTGTCGATAAATAAATGGTGTAACAATGAGATCCCTACGTGGACCTTCTTAACTGACACATTTATGAGGAAGCTTGAATGTACCCTGCTTCAATCTATTATTTATCGGTTTGGTCTGTATCGTCGACGATATCCTGAGTGTTATGTTTATCATCAATAGCTCTGCGACAAGTTCAGTCACACTCACATGTTCACGGAATTTAGAGATGGAGAACGGACCAGAAGCTAAATATTTCCTTTAGATCTACACATTCGGTGACGGATAACGACAACATTCCACTCAGTATTTGCCGGGAGAATACTTGGTTAGATCGGCACACTAACTTTCACGATTCTGTACCTTGAAAACAGAGGACTGACTGACAGACTGCGTGAATGACAGGACATGTCAAATTTATCAAACGGACAGTGAACCTAAATTCTTAGGGTATGTACTCTGTGATAACGGCGACCTGGAACGTTTTATTGCTAGAGAAACAATTTCTGATACCACCCACACCTGAAGTGCAGGATGTAATAAATAAGCCCGTGTTAACTAAACAGTTATTCGAAAGTGATTGAACAGCAGAATACTTAACAAGTAGACTTACCTAAGCGATCAATAGGACCTATGCTAATTCATCACACTCCCATTCCCCGGATTTTATAACTGACAGTTCAGACCTCGTGTGTGTTCATCTACTCTTCTAGCTGATCCTGTGGAGCACTTTACGTTAGTTGTAATCAAACACAGCTTTTTTACCAAATCCGGGAACACCACCCAAATTGGATGTAGCACGGTGAGACAGAATCGGTCGGTAGTGCTATCTTCGCATGTTTGATAAAGAGTGAACATCAGGTGAATAATGATCAAGCCTTCCAAGTAATTTAGCACGTGTTACGTAACCCACTAAAGGCCACCTAAATCAGAACATCCTATAATGCTGATGCTATCAGAATCAGGATGCTTGACCCAATATGGACATTAAAAAACGGCTCGTTTAGACGTTTCGTTTGCTATGGACACAGATCCACCGGATCGACGACAGACTTCCATGGGTAAACCAATCGACGATCGAGACTTAACGTACCAATCAAGCCATCGTCAACTGTTCGACCAGTAACTTAGTTTCTCCGTAATAAGTCAGATCGATAGCTTGATTTGATTCTACTATTTCTTTACATAATTGTACCGGCCTCACGATTAACTATCGAAAGCAAGTTTGCCTAATTGTCTATATTATAAGTAATCTCCCGATGGTTAATGCAGAACTTGGTTTTGTGTATGGAGCTAACTGATCAATAAATCCCTTTTTGTTATTCCTCTTCCCTTTCACCAAGCGCGGATGAATCGAGTTTGCAGTGTCTATCAAGCTTAATCTGGAAAGCAACTCGAATCGAATTAGTGATTTGTCTGGTATTTTAATTCGATACGTATTTCGTGTACTACAGTATGGTGTTAGTGAGTTGTGTGACATCAGACGAAGGTAATAACAACCTGTAAAGTTAAACAAGATAAACTACACTTGACTGTAAACAGACTAAAGTTTCTCATTGAAACCTACCGAAAGAGCCTGACTTTGTAGACATCGCTGATAAAACCACGGGTCTGTAACCGAATGCACGTATTTGTAATGACATTATCTAGGCTTGTTCCGAAATAACTTTTTTGTATAGAACTTGGCTATCATGCATTACACTCATCCAACTTTTCAACATCTACAGAAGTTATACTAAGCTAATTCTGTCTTGCCACTGTCATTAACTACACAGCGAGATGACACATTAAAGGCCTTGGAGGAAGTCATGAAAACTGTCAGCACTGAACGTATCCAAACAAGACGGCAGATGGTTCAATATGATGCCGAGAAAGTAAGCTAGATATGTGAATATGCATTTAATCAATTTCTTTGTACCGGTTGTTTGAGAATTGATGAAAATCCAACCATATTCGGAAGCATAGATCTAATGTCTCCTCCTGCGTTAAACAATCTGTGAGTAAATACCTCCTAGAAACGAACAACGAAGTCCAGTCTAAATTCTATATTGTTTTATTCGGACAAGTTTTATCCGGTAGAGTGTTCAACGTGCTGCTTTCAAAAAGTACTGCTCGGCTGAAACTTTGCACTCGTTAGTACTCAGCAGTGATGTATAGTCTGACCAACACGATGAATTGAACTAGGATCCAATGCGCAATTCGGTAGTGATCTCACATTAGTAATCATTAAACCACAGCCCCTAAACTTGAAGTGAAAATCGTTTGAAAGTAACACTCATGTCACTATGACCCCCTCAAGTGTAACGTTAGTATGGGTCGATAAGTCCATCATCTGCTTCTATGAATCACGTTGAAATCGTAAAGTTGTGCTACAAATTTCAATAATAAATTCAACCAATGATGAACGCTATAAAACTTTTGATTAGGATTAGGTGAATACCTACGACATTTCACTGCAGTTCATTCGTTCGTTTCGACTTTTCAGTTAACCACTTTCCGTTAAGATATATTAAGCACGTGGGGATCATTAGTCATGTAACTGCCCGATTTGAATTTGAACTGCGGCAGACCTTCTTGTGAAGTAGTCATGTTGATTTCTCAGTACGAACGTGACTGTTTTGATAACTTGTTCCGAGTCAAGTACTCGCCGGAAAGTGTAGTTCTATAAGCCGTTTATGTCTGTTTTAAGCCATCATAATCTGGCAAAAACGTTACTGCGAGAAGTGTAGGAGTGTCAAAAGTCAACGTGGTTCCATGCTGAATAAACAAAGAGAAAAACATTTATTCATAACTATGACCGATTTATCCGCACCAATTTCAATCGTCAGAAGACTATGGGGACAGCTCGGAAGTAGATTAGTTACTGAATTATTGTAAGGACGGGTTTCAAGGTGTACGGTAATATGGATATACTCCTGCACAACAACACCACTTACTCTCCTTCGGTACTACACTATTTCGCGTCGTAGTCATCGCAGGAAACCACCTCTAAACTGTAGAACTTGCAGAGTAGCTGCCGCAAATGGTATCGCTGGAAACTCAGTAAACAAACGGCCGTATATATTTGTCCTACATGATAGAAGTATGTGCATCCTGCTTATGATGAATTCAAAAAAAACACTCAACACATGAAAGTTGTAAAACTACAATATTATGAATGGTGAGAATGGAGGTTTTCTACAAAAATATGCTCACTTTGATACCGTATTACTGATGGCATATAAGTAGGCAAACAGCTTCCGATATTTTCTCGACAAACCGTCTGAATGGTTTGTATGCACCCAGCATTTCACATAAGATCAGACCCAGTCGCATGAGGAATGTTACTGACCTGGTGAGGTAGACAGAAACCCCGTGACGTTCGAAAGCATAACCGATTGATCTGCATCCTTGCCCTGA